ACACTTGTCAGGAGGGTCATTAAAATTAGCAATAAACACATCATTTTTATCTGGCTCCTTAACAGAATCTACTCTAAACACATGATGAGTAAATGCAGGGCATTTGTAATTTTCAGAAAAAGTGAACTCCACAGATTCTTCTCCAATATGAAATTTTAAACTCCCCTTTTTAACATCTGTAATAGCACCAGCTGTAGCTAGAAATGGTCGACCTAAAATAATTGGCACATTAGCATCTTCTTCCATATCTAACAAAACAAAATCAACAGGGATATAAAATTTCTTCACTTTTACCAGCACATTTTCCAAAATCCCTTTCGGATGAGTTATGGATCTATCAGCTAGTTGCGAAGTGATGTTAGTTGGTTTCAAATGTTTCAACCCAAGCTTTCTACAAACAGATAAAGGCATCAATGAAACACTAGCACCTAAATCACATAAAGCTTTATCAAAACAGACATCACCCATAGAGATAGGAATAGAGAAACTCCCTGGATCACTCAATTTTGGAGGCAACTTTCTCTGAATGACAGCACTACACTCCTCAGATAATGCAATTGTCTCAAAGTCTTTCACTTTTCTCCTGTTGGAGATGATCTCCTTCAAGAACTTCCTATAAGCCGGAATCTGAGCTAAAGCATCTGCAAAAGGAATGTTAATATGCAATTGCCTAAAAATTTTCAAAAATTTCTCAAACAACCTATCTTGCTTGGTCATATGGAGACTCTGCGGAAAAGGCACTGGTGGAACATAAGGTTTAAGCGGTGGTGGCACATATATCTCTTCTTCCTCTTGTTCCACTTTCTCCACTTTTTCTTCATTAATCTGCTTACTCTCTACTTTCTTCTCATCAGTGGTCTCATTCACTTCAGTGGTCTTTGGTTCCTCCTTGTCACCCAACTGCTTCCCACTTCTCAACATGATAGCACTACAATTTTCACGAGGGTTGATTTCAGACTTGCTTGGCAGTCGACCTTGCCCACGAGTATTCATGGCGGAGGCCATTTGACTGACTTGCATCTCCAAGGTTCTATGAGCAGTAGTCAATTGATCTAACTTTGCTTCTATCCTGTTAAACCGTTCAGTGTTTTCACTCAACAATTTTTCCATTCTCTCCAAACTTTCCTCCGTTGCTGACTTAGGTGCAGATTGGTATGACTTTGCTTGGAAACCAGGAGGGTTTTGAGGTCTTGTATTAAAGTCTTGAGCCCCTTGAATATTCCAAGAAAAGTTTGGATGATTTCGCCAACCCGGATTGTAAGTATTGGAGTAAGGATTGTTCTGCTGCTGAGGCTTGCTGAAATTAGAGACATATTGTGCACTTGCCAGTTGCATACATTCAGAACTCAAATGAGGACCTCCACAGAACTCACAGACAGTGGCATGGAAGACTGCATTAGCATTTACAAAATTGATTCTGCTGCACCATTTGGATCAATGCTGGCTTGAGCTCAAAGGTATTCGTAGCAATGGTAGGCCTAGTAATACTTGACCTAGCAACATTCTCCGAATATTTGGTTTAGTTCAATTCATAACTATATGACTTTTAACTTCCATTAATCTCACAACGATTCACCTAATTAAGAACTATACACTCTCGTGTTATAATTCTCTTACTTAGATTAACCCTATGACTACTCTCGTGACTATAGGGATTAACAAAAGCACATTAAGACCATTAAGAATCAAATATTGCAAAGGTTATAATCTTACTCTCGTAGCTCACAACCTAAGTTTATTATTCCTACGAACTAATATTAATCTTCCACTCTCGCTACTTCGATTAATACCTTCAGACATGCAAATAGTGGCCAATTACTTACACGAATTAAAACAAGTATAACAAATATTAATTAATAGAAAAATCAAATAATAATGAACCAAATAAACCAAATAAATTTGGTGGCTACACCCAAGCCCTAGATTAAAAGAATTTAGCCACTAAACATTATTAAAAGTAATTCAACAATATTTAGAGACATAATAAAATAAAAAAAATAAATTAAATAAATTAAAACTTCAAAACCGAATGAAGCCAAAAATCCCGCCAAACTCCCCGGATTTGCTCGCTTCGCCGGTGCTGCGTCAAGTGATGATAGAGAAGGTGCTGCTGCTGGCTTTCTCGGCGTGAAGAGGCAGAGGTGGTTCGGGGAAGGCTCGGTGTTCCTGCGTGGATGTGTGCGGCTTGATGGTTTATGGTGTGGTGGTGCTGCGCGAGGGTGGTGGCTTCGGTGGCGGTACTGCGCGGCGGTAATGGTCAAGGAGAAGATGTTGGGGCTGGTGAGAGGACAGCAAGGTGAGGCCGCGTGGGAAGGGAGGATGGTGCTGCGGTGGTGCGTGGCTGCCGTCGGTGAAGTGGAAGGCGGAGAAGAGTTGCAGCGGTGAAGAGGAAGGCGGAGAAGAGTTGCAGCGGTGAAGAGGAAGGCGGAGAAGGTGAAGTGCGGGAGAGGTGGTTTGCAGCCGTAAGGTTTTCGGCCAGTTTTCGGTTCAGTTCTCTTGTAAAAATAAATCTCTAATCTTCCTTTTATAGGCTTCCGGCTAAACCCTACTCCTTGAAGAACAAGAAAACTTGTTTCCCAAATAATATCGGGATTAAAATTCTTATCCAATTCCAATCCCAAATCAGCCGTATCATCAACGTAACCTTCGGCCAATTTTCCAAAAATTAGAATCAAATTCCAAAATTGCATCATTGGCCCTCCAATTCTCTAAACTCATTAATTTCTTTCCCATCAATTGCTCCAATCTTCAATTCATTCCCATTGAGTTGCTTTTAATTCGATTTTAGCTCAAAACTTCAACAATTCTTCATTTGAGTACAATTCCTACAATTAAAGATAAAATCACATAAATAGCATATTTGTACTCAAAATATATTGCAAAAATCACAAATTAGGGATATAATAAATAGGTAAAATATAAGCATATCAATGAGATCAGGCTTTTTTGTCTTGGGAATTAGGACAATGTAGGTATGGTTCATGTTGCTGTCAAAAACCTTATTGTTAAGAAAATTTAAAACAAAAGAAACAATTTCAGGACCAACTATATTCCAATACTTTTTAAAAAAGATAGGCCCCATACCATCCGGTCCCGAAGATTTAAAAGAATGCATTTGCTTTAGCGCTTTTACCACCTCAATCTCCGAAAAAGGCATCAGTAGCCAGCTATTCATATTGTCATCAACCCTAACTCGAATGCGGCTGAGAGCTTGCTGGACATCCCTTTCAAACGGACATGAAGAGATAAAAATATCACCAAAATACTCCAAAATAATGGCCTCAATATCTTCAGGGTACGTGCATTCCATTCCATTTTTATCTTTCAACGAAGCAATATGATTCGTTTCCCGCCTTTTGCTAGCAAAAGCATGACAGAATTTTGTGTTGCGATCTCCTTCTTTGTACCAGTGTTGTTTACTTCTCTGTTTCCAATTCAAATCTTCCTGGTCCAAAAGAGATTCTAACTGGGATTTAAGGGTTGCAAGTTCCTCTCGGATTTCGGTAGTGATTACTCCGGCTTCCATGCCTTTAATTTTATCTTTCAGCTTTTCAATTTTTTCCTGAACACCATGTACATCCCTGCCTCCCCAATTCAGAAGAGCAATAGCACATGTCTCTAGTTTTGAACAAAGAGTGGAGGATAGTTGAGACCAACATTCGCCAATAATTTTTTCACAATCGGAGGATTTGACCCACATTGCCTCGAATCGGAATGGTTTTTTGCGGCGACGAAACCTTTCAAACCTGTTGGGAGAGAATTGGATATGAAGCATATCATGATCCGAGGCAAAGGAAGGGACATGAGTAACCTTAGACCATTTGAAAAGGCTCCGCCACAAAGGATTACACACTGATCGATCCAAGCGCAACCGCTGTGTACGAGGGGCAGCTAGAAGTCGAGACCAAGTGAAGCAGCTGCCATTGTATCCCATATCATGTAAATTACATTCAGCAAGAAAATTCCGAAACAAGTTAATTTGCCATTTAGCTCTTTTCCCAGAACCATTGAATTCTGATTGTAAAAGAACTTCATTGAAATCTCCACAACAAATCCAAGGCATTTCAGGATATTCCTTGATAGATTTCTATGAATTCCAATATTCCCAACGTTTACTAACATCCGGCTCCCCATATATGCTAGTAAATTGAAAAGTGCAGCCGATGAGGTCCACCATACAGTCAATAAATTGATTTGAGAAACATCGAAGCCGAACAGTAATCTCCTTACGCCAAAGCAACGCCACACCTCCCACCGAGCGGATCGAGTCGACGAAAACACTAAACAGATTAAACCTAGATTTTATATCATCGATTGTGGAAGAGGAGCATTTGGTTTCCAATAGAAAAACCAATTGGGGTGACTTGGCGCGAATGGTTTCGCGCAGTTCCTAAATTGTACGAGGGTTCCCAAGCCCCCGACAATTCCAACATAGGATACTCATATTTGTAGGTGGTGTTGGTCCTCCATGCCAGCCACCGCCTCTGGTACATTTGTCTCAACTTCATTTATGACCATCACCTCCTCAATCCAGGTTTCAACAGAAGCCCTTCTTTGCTTCCCTCCTTCAGACGTAAGATCGGAATCGAGCTTCCTTTTGCTAGCAACCTGTATGCCAACTAACTCGACTTCCTTAGTAGCTTGCAACTTTTGTCGTGTCCCCTTGACTCTTCCTCTTCCCCTTCTGTTGGACACCATAGAAACACTTTTCCGCGTATTATGCTTTGTTAAGGTCTTAGCAACCCGACGGGCCGGAGAATCAAATGCCACTAGAACAACATTTAAAAAAGGACTAGAAGGTTGATCTAGGATTAGGTTGACTTCAGAGGAGGAGCTTTGTTGTTGTGGTGGAGAACTTGGGTAGTAATAAGGGGAACGAGATGGGTTTGGGTGGGGGAATGGGGTGGGGATTGAGATGCTACTTCCTGTGAATGAGTCTAATCATAGGTCCTATTGTGCTATGGAAAGAGTTCCATGTCATGGTTCAAGTTTAGTTCTGGTTACGGAAAAGTTCGAGCAAGATTTTCAGGGGTTGCAAGACAAGGGAAGTCCCTGAGGACAAAGTTTCCCCAAATGTATGTTTCGTGTGAGATTGGGGTTGGTTTCGGGAGGCTAACATGAACAAGTTCATCAGAGGGTGAGGGTGGTGGTTTTGAAGGCAATGGGGTGGGGAGTGAAGAAACAACAATGTCTTCGGTAGGATAAACAGGTTCAGAAACAATCATAAGCTTCGGGTAAGTGGATTTCCTGCATTCAAAATCGTCTCTTTTGTTGGGAGGCTGATATAAGGGTTTATTACTCGAATTGGCTTGGCTATCAGAACTTGATCTCCTCCAATTTCCACTTGAAGATCCTGACGATGATGAAGAACGACCAGTGACTGAAGCTGCCCGAAGAGTTTTCCTGAAATTGATGATTGTCTCATGGGTGGTATTACTAAGGATCTTTGCTTCACAATCCTGATCAGTGTGGCCAATTATTCTGCAAAAATAACAAAAATCACGGAGCCTTTCATAGCTCATTTCACAAGCATAAATCCTGTCTTTGAAGTTGAACTCCACTGAATGACAAAGTGGCTTTGTGATGCCAATAGAGACTCGAGTACACAAACATGCACCGATTGCAAGGCCATCCCGATCACAATCAGATTCTACAAATTGACCAATAACATTCCAATGGACTCAGCAGCGTCCTTGTTCATCAAACCATAAGGCAAACCCCGTATCTGAACCCAAAAAGGAACCCAGGAGAAGTCCACCATATCATTGACATCATCTTCATTAACCTCTATGAAAACAAAAAGCAGTTTACCAATTGTCCATGGACAACCTTGTTGAACCCTTCGTAGATCTACTGGGGAGTTAAACTTGAAGAAAACAGTATTCCAACCGGCATCCATATGGTGAAAACCATGTTGCACATTCCAATACTTACGAAAATGGTTGGCAATTTCATTATGACTCAAGAAACGATCCTTTGGTGCAATGACTTTTCCTACCAGACAACTGCCAGATCCAAGTTTTCTCCCAATCGATTCAGCCAAAAAAGCCTTTTTTCGGTTCATTCAGAGAGAGATTAGCACACATCTTCTCTAACAACTGATCCATGAGTGGTCTAACTGCACAATAACCGCAGACGGGCGTGAAGTAATGACCAGAATAGCCGACTATAGATCCCTAAGCTAGCGATCAGGTCTGTAAAAAACTAGAGCAAAAAGCATAAAATACGTTATAACAAAATAATAACAAGAAGATCTACGAGGCAAATGTAGAAAAATTATTGTTTTTGTAATAAATTAAAACATGCTAGGGTTTGGTTATTCTAAGGACAAATTTATTGCTTGATTGAAAATGTTTTGACAATCAAGACCGGACATGGATTCCAAAGAGACAGAAAGAGAGTTGAATTTCCAAGAAAGATTGTATAGATTAGACTACAAATTTGACTAGAAGGGGTGGGAAGTGACCGCTGAAACTGGGAAAAAAAAAACTATGACTCTAAGGGGAATGAGTGAAATATGATTAATTGCTAGGATAATTTTAGTCTTAGTAATTTAATGAAGGACAATTTCGGAAAATGAGTGAAATATTATCCTGGATGATATATGTTAATGCCATACTAAAAAGTTATCGCGTGTGTGCGGCTTATTATCTTTTATGATGCATCTCTTCTAATCCAACGGTTGCAGTGATTATTTAATCATCTGACGGTTAATATTTATGACTGAATGGTTTAATCGACTGGATCACAGTCACTCCCTCGCAGCTCAATAATTCATACCAACACAAAGACCTTCTGCCATCTACTAGTTTAACACGTGATGGTTACAACTCGTTAATTTTGAATTCTTTGAATGAACCTGAATCCACTTCAGCAATACAGAAAGAAAACACAAAATACTAATTTTCCACTGATTTTAGGAGAAAAAAAAGAACATCTACCCAGTTCACAGAACGTCAAATATTGATCCCAACGGTATGCAAAAACATACTCATTCTATTTCAAAAGGATTATTTTGTTTTAATTTTTTTACTTTTAACATAATTTGTACATTGGTTTCACACTAATAATCCTTAAGTTTACCTCATCCACAGGCTACATATCATTGACTTTTTCTCTCTTTCACTGTGGGCCAAAACACACCCACTGCGTGTAGTCCTCGAGATCTCCGACGTGAGTCTGCAATGGCGAGGAAATCAAAGAAGAGAGAGGAGGTTAAGGAGAGTGATAACAAGCAACAATCTGGAACAGAAAGTGATCATTCAGAAGGGAAGCTAACTCATGGTGACGACAATTCAAGGAAGATCCAGCTAAGCTCAAACTCAGGTAAACCTTCTAATTCGAACTTGATTTTTGAAGATCTGTGTAAACGGAAGGTGATTGAGGTTCGTGAGAGCTCAGATGCTCAGAATCAAGCAAGATCTGATAAGTCTGAGGCTGGTAAGGTAGCTGGGGATAAAGGTGTTTAGCAGGGGTTTGATCCCAAAATCTTAGTTCAGAATAAGAAGAAACTGAGTTTTATTGAACCAAAAGTTGTGAATGATCGACTTCTAACGAAGATAACACAAGATGAGATCCAGAGTGAGATTGAATATTGGAAGTCATCCATAGTCTGTTATGTCTTGGGAGCTAAGCTACCATTTCCAGTCATGAATGGTTTCATTAGAAGGTATTGGAGTAAAAGGAATGTAGATAAGGTTCTGTTACTGGACAATGGGGTGTCTGTGATTCATTTTAGATTTCTGAATGATAAGGAGGAAGTGCTAAAACAGAACATTCACCAGTTTGACAATCGTCCATTGATAGTGAAGGAATGGGATGTACAAGCTAGAATTAATGCGGATGAACTAAGATCGATCCCTGTGTGGATCCATCTACCTAGTTTAAAACTTAAATATTAGAATGCCACCTCTCTTAGTAAGCTTGCTAGCATGATTGGTAAGCCTATAGAAATGGATGACATGACAGAAAATAAGCTCAAAGCAGCATATGCAAGAGTTCTAGTGGAGGTTGAATTCAGGGAAAAGCTTAAAGAGGAGGTATGATTTGAAGATGAAGCAGGTGTTGAGCAAGAACAGAAGGTGATTTATGAGTGGAAACCACTGAAATGTAACAACTGCAGTGGATATGGTCATGATCTGAAACAATGCAGGAAGCCAGTTGAAAAAAAGTGGACTCTCAAAACAAAAGGAAAACAGAAGGAAGTTCAGGAATCTAAACAAGCAGTGGTGGTGGAAAATCCAAAACAGCAATCTCCAAAATCTCACACAACATCATTAAGAAAGGAGAGTACTACTGAGTTTGGAGAAGGAAGCATACAGATATTAAACCATAAAGGCATTAAGATGCCTGACAGTAGAGGAGATATTAAGAATAGATCCATCAATAGTATTTGCTATCAAGGAACTAGTCACCCTAATCCAGGGCCTAGTACTTATGAATAACATACTATCATGGAATATAAGAGGACTAAATAGTCCTCTGAAACACAGAGAGGTAGATCAATGCCTTTCTGTGAATAAGGTTGGTATTATGGGGTTATTGGAAACAAAATTACAAGGTGAAAAGGTGAAGGAGCTCATGGAAAAGAGATGGTATAATTACTGTCATATAAGTAATCATGATAACCAAAACAAAGGGAGAATACTGATGGTTTGGAGGAAAGATGATTATGTGGTAAGGAGATCACAGTGGATAGTCAGTTTATACATTGTCATATTACTGAATTGGAGTGTAAAAAGCAATTTTACTTCACTTTGGTATATGCTGATTATTTAGCTCAAGGGAGAAGCATACTTTGGGAGAGGCTGAAAGCTCTTTCACAGGAGATTAATGAAGCTTGGTTGATGTTAGGGGATTTTAACTGTATTATGCAATAGAATGAGAGGTTGGGTGGCAGGGAAGAAATGAACTCTGATTCTGGGAAATTTAAACAGCTGGTTGAGGAATGTGAGCTATAGGAGATGTCAGTGCAAGGAGGTTTTTTCACATGGAGCAATAAGCAATTTGGGAATATGAGAATACTGTCCCAGTTGGATAGAAGTTTTATCATTGAACATTGGAAAAATGCTTTTCCTGAGGCTTATACCACAGTTTTGAATGCAGGGATTTCAGATCATCATCCTCTTTTAGTAAAATGTGGAGAGGAATATGTTGGGAAGAAGAAATCCTTCAGGTTTTTTAATATGTGGTTACAAGATCAGGAATGCAAGGCCATAGTGAAAGAATGTTGGCATAAGGAGGTGGAGGGGACATGCCAATATAGAATGATTAAAAAGTAGCAATTGTTGAAGAAACCACTCAGAGACTTGAATAAAAGGAAATTTTCAAACATTGAAGAGGCAGAATTACAGTGGAGGAAAAAATTGGAAGATGTTCAAGAAGCTTTGAAGACTGATCCATTTAATACACAACTTCAACAGGAGGTAAAAGGTAGCAATAAAGGAGTGTGGATTAGCAGGGAAAGCAGTGATTAGCTTCTATAACCAAAAATTGAAGGAGAAATGGATACAGGAAGGTGATCTTAATAGTAAATATTTTCATGCCAGTTTAAAGGAAAAGATATCCATGAGCAAAATTAGAGTCTACACAGATGATCAAGGAACTCTAATTGAAGATGCAAAATTGGTGGAACTGCACTTCTTGGAGTATTTTCAGTCAATCCTTGGAACAAATGCGACCAGAACATCAATCCAAAGTAGCTTTTTCAGTTCAGGGATCAAATTGTCTGTTGAACAACAAATTCGCCTGACTGAGGAGTTCACTAAGGCTGATGTTAAAGAAGCAATGTTCAGTATAGGTGTTAATAAGAGTTCAGGCCCTGATGGATTCAACAGTGGATTCTACAAAGCTATGTGGTCCATTGTAGAAGAAGATGTTTGTGAGGCTGTTATTGAATTCTTTAAAACAGGTAAAATGTTGAAGCAGCTAAATGCAACTTTGATTGCCTTGATTCCTCAAGTAGCTATGCCTAAAGTTGCTACTGAATACCGGCCGATTGCCTGCTGTAACACTGTATATAAATGCATATCTAAAATGATATGCAAAAGGCTGAGTAGTGTTCTGGATGGATTGACTGATATCAACCAAGGAGCTTCTGTGAAAGGTAGATCTATTTTGCAAAATATTCTACTAACACAAGAATTGGTAAGACTGTATAACAGGAAAAATATAAGGCCAAGTTGCTTGATGAAGGTGGATCTCAGGAAAGCCTATGACTCTATACACTGGTGTTCAAATTAGAAGCAAGTAAAGAAGGTTTTCAGTTCCATCCTTATTGTGATAAACTGAAAATAACTTCTCTGAGTTTTGCAGATGATCTTATCATTTAGTGTGGTGCTGATATTCATACTGTGACAAGAGTGAAGAAGATAATAGAAAATTTTGAGGCTACCACTGGACTAAGAGTCAACTTCAACAAATCTAATGTCTATGTGGCACGAGTATCTGAAAATATAGCTAATCAAATTCAATCCATTCTGGGATTTAAGAAGGGAAGCTTTCCTATGAAATACCTTGGGATGCCAATATCACCAACTGCATGGAGTAAATTGGAATGTCAAAGCATGGTGGATAAAGTAATGGCAAGGATAAAATGCTGGACCTCTAAGCATCTATCATATGCAGGCAGGTCCTTACTTATTAATGCTGTTTTGATGAATTTAAATTCCTATTGGGCTAGCATTTTTCTTATTCCACAGAATGTGATCCAAGACATAGTCAAAGTTTGTAGACACTTTCTTTGGGGAAGTAAGGAGGATGGAAGGAAGCTGCCTCTAGTAGCATGGAATGATGTGTGTCAGAAGAAATCAGAAGGTGGCCTAAATATCAAGGAACCTAATTTGTGGAATAAAGCCATGATCACTAAGCAGTTATGGGATCTGAGTAACAGAAAGGAAAGTTTGTGGGTTAAATGGATGCATATGTACTACATAAAAGGCAGATCAGTATGGGATTGTAGAGCTCCAAAGAACAGCAGTTGGCATTGGAAGAAACTACTGAAAATCAAAGAGGCTATGAAAGCTGGGATTAGTAATGGTAAATGGATGGGAAACGGAGGTAAGCAGTATACAGCAAGTAGCGGATACACATGGCTGAGAGGAGAACACAGGAAGGATCTTGCTGCAAAGGTAGTCTGGTGTTGTTACTCAGTGCCAAAACATAGCTTCATAAGCTGGTTGGCCTGGAAACACAGATTGAATACTGGGGAGCGGTTGCAACAACTGAATATTGTTGCTGATGATATAAGGTGTGTTCTGTGTGAATTAGAAACTGAAACTGCTAATCACTAATACTTTCAGTGTGTGGTTTCTAAAAGATTGTTGGAAATGGTGAAAGATTGGCTGGGAATCAATATCATCCCAAACCAGTTGAATGTCCAGGAAATGCTGCAACTGTGGAGGTACAGAAAGCTACAACAGAGGGTGTTCTATGCTGTATTCAATGCTACTGTTTACCATGTTTGGATGGAAAGGAATTACAGAAAATTCAGAGACATAAAAAGTGAGGTGGAATGCTGTTTTAGCAAAATTCAGCAGGAGACTAGATATAGAATTCAATTATGTTTGAAGTTGAAAAAATTAAAAAGTAGTGAGCAGCAGTTTATGAGGAGATTAGGGATGAGTTTTTGACATATGATGTAATTATACCTTGTACAGGAAGTTTGTGAAGTGATCAATATAATTTACACTTTACCCAAAAAAAAAAACATAATTTGTACTTAAAACGAAATGTAAAATACTTTACCAAAAAAAAAACATAATTTGTACTTAAAACGAAATGTAAATACGACAATCATTTCAGGATAAAGGATGTAAAAAATTTCCCCATGCAATGAAGTACACAGGAGGTTTTTTAATAAATGCGATACCTAGTTGATTTATTGACTGAAAGGTCTAATCTAATCGGATCAACGTGAAAGGTCACATGTTAGAATTTTCAAGCGCTAGATATTTAGTCCTTAAAAATTCTAATCTCTTGTTGTCATTCGAGATAAATTCGAGGAAACAAGTTCAAAGGACGAATAGTGATGGTTTTGAATCATTGGAGCGATTCTTATGCATTATTTTATGTAGCCTTATTCAGATATAAATTGGGATCCATCCCAATCCCCAACACCGCCCCTGTTTCTTTTTTTTAATAAAAAAAAGTTGAAATGAAAAAAAAAAAAAAACTCCGTCCAAACACAACATTCATATACAAAATATATATTACATTAAAATATGCATATTTTCTGGTAAAAATACTCAAATATTTTAATTTATATAAAAGCTAAAGCTATATCAAAGGGTGGAGGTATGATGAAGTTCCTTCCCTGACCATGTTTTCCCTCCATATTCTTGATTTTTGTATATTTACTATATCAACACTTTTAAACATAATGGAGAAATAAACAACAAATTTATTTACAGAGTTTTGGCAAAATATGCAACTCTAGATAGACTCCATATTTATTTTCATTAATCCTATTCTTTAAAACCAACCCATAAACTGTCAAGCCTAAGATTATACTGTAATTGAAGTATAGAAATGTGAAAGACCGAAATTGTAATTAACCTTATTTGATTAGTACTCCTTCCGTACTTATTACAAGGCATTTTGTTTAGTTTAAAATTTCATTTACTATTTCTTCACCTTAAAATAAAATATGAAAAAAATTTATTTGGGAGAACACAATAAATGTAAAAATATATTTTTAAAATTTTATTTTCAACTAAAAGTACATAATTAATCAAATTTATGACATGAGAGAATAGAACAGCAGAAGTTCTGAACTCCTTCCGTACTTATTACAAGGCATTTTGTTTAGTTTAAAATTTTATTTATTATTTTTCTACCTTAAAATAAAATATGAAAAAAAATTTATTTAGGAAAACACAATGTAAAAATATATTTTTAAAATTTTATTTTCAACTTAAAGAACATAATTAATCAAATTTATGACATGAGAGAATAGAACAGTAGAAGTTCTGAATTGTAAAACCTATCGAATGTTTTGGAATTAAACTGATCTTGTCTTCCTCCCGTTCTAATTATTCTTCTGCTATCCGTCTCCTCTGATTTCCTCTATTTCTCGCCTCAAAGGCCTAAACCTTTCTTTTTCCCATGAACCTTATGACCCAACTAGCCCAAACAATAATAGCTTACACTAGAATCAAGTAAAACTATCAAACCCACGTTAGGCAATGATGAACTGGAAGCCCATTCAAACGTCTCAAAATACCATATGCAATTATTAAGATTTCATACTTGAATGTCCCTCTTCCGTTTTCGGCTGAAAAATGCCAATAGGGCTGAAGTCCAATGAATTTGCTAAAAATGGAACACCAAGAGTGTAATAGCGCAGTTTACTTAATCCACATTGTTAGGAGTGTACCCTATTGTTTATGCATAGAATGTAAAAGAGTATCGACTATACACATCAGGACTTTTCAAAACCGTTGTGTAATATTGTATGAACACGTGTGAACGGATTGGGCCGAAAAATGACCATATGCATATCGACACAATCCTGAAGAAAAATAGCATAACTTTACCTCAAATGATGCCCTGATTTCAAACATAAACCATCTGCCGCATGGCTGAAATTTCTCACAAATACGAGTCCAGAATTTAATCAACGTGATGCCATAGAACACCTCGTAATCCCTGTATTCAATTGATTTATGCTACGACTAGTTATCTTCATAGCGGAATTGGATCAACTTATGCCAAAGATAACTCTTCACTGCTTGAATTAAATCGACAAACAGCAAAGAGGGTCTCCAATCACCGGATTTTAATCAACGTATGGCCAGATTAATTTTGTGTACCGGAATTTAATCTACGGATGTTCACGTGCTCACAACTTAGAAAGCAACAAGTAGTAAAATAATTCAAGTTTGCGAGAGCACAATATGCTAAGTGTAATGTTGATGAATTTTTATTTCTTTATAATTATTACACTACTATCCACTTTTATTTCCTCAGATTGGCTAATTTCTACCATAACTATTATCTAAGAAAATATCACACTAATGTACCAAACTAACACTAAGAATGAAGTCCATAATCATCCATCAATGCTCTCATTGCCTTGCATATTTCTTGAATGTTTTTTGAATTTAAATTGCTCCTTCTTTTGAGGTCTTATTTAATTTCCAGCAAGAAACTTATTTCAGCATGTGTCTCAATCTGCGGAAAGTTTGCTATACCATTCAATTTGCGGGAGAAAATTTGTTTTGTCACTATAACCGTTATAATAATATAATAACGCGCGTTAATTGGTTTACTGCGTGCACGTTTTACGTTCATTTTTTTCTGAAGAATTTTCTTTTTCAATTGATTATAAGTTTTTTTTTTCTCATTTCAAGGATATATATTAAATATTTTCTTTTGGTTTTCAAAAGTCCATGAGGTATATTAAATGTATAATTGATTATTTAATCCGTTAGAAAGACATCGTTTTGCCTTCCTATTTCCGTCGCTTTATCACCCCGTTGAGGTCTACTTAGAGTCTGAGACATTTGATGCAATCATTTCAAAACTTTCAAAATGGAAGGAAAACATTGCCCTTCTTTTCTAAAGCATGTCATGGAAGATGATCTCACCCGTCGAATCGTAAGTTCAATTTTATCAAACTTATTATTATTTCCTTGCCTTCGAAATCCCAATAATCAGTTTTTTTTTTTTTTTGTGTTTGTTTTCTAGCGAATACCCCATAGCTTTTCAAATGAACTAAACAAAAAGGTCTCTCAGAATTATTCACTCATTACCGGGAAGAATAAAAAACGTTGGCCTGTGACCATTCGCAAGAAAGGTTATTACAATTATATTGGCAAGAAATCATGGGCAGATTTTGTAAGGGTGCACAAATTGAAGCATGGCGATTATTTGCTATTTCTTTTGGTGGGTAAGACAACTTTCAAAGTGGTGGTTTTTGGTCCGGATGGCTCCCAAAAGAAGTTTTTTCACGTTGATGATAGTTCAACTGACGAGGACGACGATGAGGACGAGGACGATGATCACAAGAACGAGGATGATGACGAAAATGACGACTTTTCTGAAAGTAGTGATGAAAGCGATGATGATAAACGTCACAAAACGAAGAACAAACGAAGAGAAGCTGCTTCATTCCACAAGTCCAACTCTCCACATTTCAGGAAAACAAGAAACTCCTCAGGTGAATTTTCTTTCACCTTTTTGTCAACAGAAATTAGAAATTCATCTGGTACCAATACCATAAATTTAATGCAAATCATAATCTTTGTTTCTGTTGCTAAGTTCAATAATTTGTTACTCCCTATTCCAAAAAAATAAAAATGAAAAACAAAACAAAACGAAATTCTGAATTTTGTACTGTTTTAATATAATTTTTTTGGTATCAAATTATTAAAATTCTAGGTGACTATTTTTTTAGGGACAGAGACACTAATGAAGAACAGAAAGATCTAAAAAATTTCTTTTGAGGTAAATGTAGGTACTGATCAAGCTGTGAAAACCAGAGAGATGCGAACTGAAGATGCTACTAAAAACGATGGCCGTTTTGATTCAAGAGCCAAGAATCCCTACTTCATAGTCAAGGTGAAGTCACACCACAGATCATTCATGGTAAGAATACTAAATAAACAAATCCAATAATATATTTGTCGGCAAATTAGTTGTTGTAAGGATAACGTTTTTGTTTCGATTTTCTTATTTTAAGTTTTGATGATGTTTGATTAGATAGTACTCTTTCCGGTCCTTAATATAAAATATTTTTATTTGTTTTAGGTTTTATCTAATATGAACTTTAATTGAAAAAAAATATTAAAAATATATTTTCACATTCATTGTGTTCTCTTAATTGTCAAGAAATATTCTTAAGATTGTTTTATCAATTAAAAATGCGTATTAGTTGAAAACTTGGACAAATCAAAATGACTTATATTAAAGTAACGAGGGAGTACAACATTAATATCGAATGCAAGAAATTGTATCGACAATATATGGAATAACGTGCCTCCATATCATTATCATAATATTTTCAGGTCATTCCAAGGCAATTTGCAAAGAAAACAAAACTAGACGAAGTTCATGATGTGGTACTTCGTCATGAAGAAGATAAGAAAGCTTGGCCAGCAAAGATTGTTGCGAGAACCTATGGTAGAATAGATCTTGCGGATGGATGGTCTAAATTCTGCAAGAATTATGAAGTGAAGGTCGGAGAAACTTGGCGGTTCACCTTATACAAGAGGGGTGGGAATTTCATCATTAATTTTGGAATTGTTAAACCAATTTCTAACTAGTTTTATTAAAATTATAGACTCTTCGTAAAATACACTATGAATTTTTTTTATGCAGTTCGTATATTAAAATTTTCTGAAGTTTTATTAATGTAGGAATCCAATCCAAGTGTGAATTAGCTTTAAATATTATTTATAGAATGTAGGAAACCAACCAAGCTGGACTAAAATTAATTAATCCTTTTCAGACTCGAATACCAACATTAGAGAACCACGACTCTTTGGTCGACGGCCAAACCGACCTGCCAAAAATATCCAAATTCATTTTGAGGTCCAATATAAAGCTCCCCGAACGCTTATATGGAATGGAATGAGATGTGAGCGTTGATAAGCACAATGTCACCAGAAATAAGCATTCGGGATGGCACTATCATCGACATAATCCCAACCTGCTGGAATGACAAAGTAATACGGCACCCATGCAAAATGAGGAACATGATTAAAACGAGGAGCATGCTTACTTCGTCGAGATGTTGGATGTCTCCTTTGATAATCACCTGCTGTGCCGGAACATCTCGAACTGCGTCGACGCCAAGTATGGTTAATAATATTGCCGAGATGAACTTTATGAGCTTGCTGGAACTGACCCTTATGTGCAGGAGAATCACTATTCTGGCATCCATTGTCATTCTGAACCTGAGAGCCTGATGTGGCACTACTACTTTCAGGTGCTCCATTAATCGGAAACGACTTACTAGCATCTGCAACAGAACTTGCTTGATCGCCGTCGAGCTTATCATCAATTGTCGACACTTCAACAACATACTTTTCCTCTTGGTCGGCCCCACTTTAGATTACATCACTATTAATCTTAGACGACACATTGCTAGACTTAGCATTGACCACCTTGCCCCCAAATGCCTTGATTCTGCTAGGCCGCATAACGGAAGGTGTAAGCATCTTCGACTGAGCTCTTGCAAAACGCTTCTTTTCTCGGCCAATCAAGGATTTCAGCAACTCGCGATCTTTAGCCAAATCAATCCTCCATTCTATAGCAGCACCACAATTCAAATAAGCATAACAACTGTCGCCACCATCAAAATCAATGCCGTGTAATTGAGGACCGTCATTGACTTTTTCTGCAAAGTGAAAACCATACGGTATTGGCTTCCCTTTACTTCGCTTGCTTCTTCTGTTGGCAGAACATCTCTTGTCATAAAGCCAGACATGATTAGACTTTTGCTTAACCGGCAAGGAATCTGTTGCATCATTGACCAATTCGGCACTACTGTTGCACCACCGATCTTGGAAGCCATCATTAGAAACGGCAACCTGTTGGTCTGCTGCTGCTTCTTTTGGAACATCAATAACTAAGCATTGTACTGGTTCAGCTGTCACAGATAAATTAACATCCGGTGTTGCCATTTGGCCTTGCTCCTGCTCGCCCTTAATTTCGTCGACACTTGGACAAATAGAATTATCAGTTGCAGGTGGAGTATCATCAAAACTTTCACAAATAATCTCCTCAATATTGCTGCCGCTGCTAGAAGATTCACAAGATTTCCTACAATCAACTTCGACAGACTCGTTTTCATCAATAACAGGATCATTAGACAAACAAAAAGAATCAGTATGCTCACAATGCTCACAACTATAGTTTCAATAATCGGGAATGATTCACTCGCCGAAACTGTATTTAATGGCTGCAACACCTGTTCATTTGTAGCGGCAAATGCTTGATGGGGGTACTCAGACTCTTCCTGCAGGCTTTCCCTAAGCTTGCCACATTCTGCATCAAAATCACTAGGTAGCCCTCCGGGTGTCGACGATAAATCTGTCACAGAATTTTCTTGCAACTGATCTGCTGTTGCAATTGAACTTTCACTTGCTTCTAGTGTCTGCTGAGTTTGTTGTACCACCTGCAAATTCTGTACCTGCGGTACTACCTGCTGTAACTGCAACTGTTGCAACACCTGCATCTAAATTTGCTGATGTTGCTACGAAAAAACTTGCTGTGGTTGTGCCTGCAATAGATATTGCTGATGCTGCAGCGACATAACCTGATGTGGTTGTACCTGCACCTAACCTTGGTGTTGTTGCGGCGACAAAACCTGCAGTTGCTGCGCCTATATCTGTTGCACCATGTTTTCACTAATTAACATATGGTAAAATTATGTGTAGCATTTGAATTACCAACAGTGGGCAGCCCCCCGAATCTTGAGGGATCTTGCACCATAGACCCGTCACACCGTCCGTCAATGCAACTAGATTGCTGTTCCGCGCCATGTTGACAATAAGATTGAGGAAAGCGGCCATCAATAGTAGCCTACCATCCGATATTATTTTCAGCCCCTAAAGAATTATGTCCTACATGTGGAATTGCGGGCTGTTCAGAGATATGCCCACCAAGTGGTGATGGACTATAAGAATATGGAGATTGGGGATCCCTAGGCGACCTATTATATGGAGAAGAAGTATAGATCGGATCCCTAGGGCTACTAAGATCGAATCCCATAATAAAAAACGAAAGGAGGAATTTTCTTTTTTTTTTTAGAGAAGAAAGAGAGATTTTAAAAATAGAGATTTTTAGAAGAAAAAACCACCACGATCAGGGAATCAAACCAAAGCTTGTCCCACTGGGCGTGCCATTATGTTTGTGCCGAAAAAATCACCCTAAAGCGTGAGAAAGAAGGGGTAAAAATCTCCTAAAACATACAAAATCAAGCGATTGTGGATGTGTTCAAAAACTGGCCTCAGTCTTAGAATCGAAGACTTATGGTTAACTTTGGTTTAATATTAATAAGAAAAAGATATAGAGAAAGAGTGAGACAAGCCAAAGAGTGGTGGCCGTCAATCCATTAAAATGGGAAAAAAGAGATAAATAATGCCGACTAGCTATGAAGAACGTCGATAATGCGCTATTACAAGAAGAATCGAATTCACTGAAGTAGAAAACGATGAACGACTACCTATTTCTATGAAGAAAAATAGGCCAAAAACTATTTAGGCTAAGCTATACTAGAAAAATATGATAAAAATACATGAAAGAAAAAACAAAAAATAAAGAAAAACGAATGATATCGATGATGATGAATTGAGGTGTGTTTAGATGATGTCTTGCGCGGCTGCTTATATAGGAGGAAGGCCGAAAAAATCTTCTAGTAGTGTCAACCCATTCGGCCTCTTCTAATCCCATGCAAACAAGGAGTCTTTAGTTTCCCAAAACAATTACCTTAATCAATAAGACTCCCGCGTGAGAAAGTCACCAACTAATGCACATGTGCAACAATTGCCCTCCACGAAATAGCTTCCTATTTGATTAATTACTCCTAATGGCCGTGCGTGAGAGTACTTTAGGCATGTAAATCCTTATTGGCCTCAAACTCAACCATATAATATAGAATAATATCCATATAATCCCAATCCAAGTATGAATTAGCTTCAAATATTATTTCTAAAATGTAGGAAACCAACTAAGCTGGACTAAAATTAATTAATCCTTTTCAGACTCAATACCAACATTAGGGAACCACGCCTCTGTGGTCGACGACCAAATCGGCCGGTCAAAAATACCCAAATTCATTTGGGGTCCAACACTATTATTATGAAGTTGAATGTGAGAAAATTAAAAGACGCTATAATAAAAAAAATTGTTTTATTAGAAGTTAAGAGGGATGTTGAACGGTTGCATCCATTCAATTTTTTTTTTTACAAAAATAATCCTCATATTTTCTCAATGATCAAGTACTATTAGTAATTTGATCCAGCTATTCAAATTCTTAATGATAACGGTTAATTTGTTACATAAAAGCATGTCAATTTACTCTTTAATTAGTAAGAAATTAGGGGTGTTTCTCAGAATTAGTTCATTTTACTTAACTACTTTTGTGTTTTTAATTAGGCAAAGACCTGAGTGAACATTAGCTGAAAAAGGGGGGGGCTTATGGAACAAAAATTGGGCTTCTGGATTCAAATTTGCTGAACTGGTCAAAAGTAACTTCAAGACACAAAGCACATTGGGAGTAAATAAGGGTGTCCCACCATAGAAACCCAAGAGCATGCTTGTCCCCTTGGCTGAAGAATCAACCACCCACATTGATCAATGCTGCTGCTGATACCACTTTTGGAAGAAGGGGAAAAGGCCATTAAAACCGGATTCAAGACACAAGGCATTGGGGCTAATAAAAAATACACAAGCATGGTGAGACTCTCTTGGAAGAAGAACCGGCAACAAACTCTATAAAAGGAGCTACATTCCCAGCATAAAGAACACATCTGAGAGGACAAAAACACACATACAACACACCAAACACCACTAAGAGAGAAGAAGAGAACGGAGAGGAGATCAAGAAACTCCAAGAAGAAGAAGTTCAGTAGCAGCAAAAGAGGAGTAACAGACCTCAATGCTTTCACATGTTGCTAAGCCATCCGGATTTGCTTCTTCTCAATGCTTTCCTTCTTTTCTTGTATTTTCTGTAGTTTGTATGTGTAGTTAATTAGATTTCATTCTCTGGAACCTATGTAGTTTAAGTTTGTGAATGCATTCGGATGATTTTGTGTTTTGAAGTTAAAGCTTTCATCTACCTCTTGATTAAATTGGCCATTTGATTGATTGTGCATAAAACTAAGTGAATCCCAGTAGAGTAAACAAGGTCCAGAATCATTTAGCTTCAACTTATGACTTAGAGGTAACAGTCCAAGGTTCTAATTGAGATAGGAATATACTTGGTTAGCATAAGCATTCATATAAGGCTTGAAAAACTTAATGACTTTATGACTTGATTAATCATTGAAAAATAGTTTAATTGAGTTCATAAAGATACCTCTAGGAAAAATCAGAAGTGACTTAGAGATATATAAGTACCTGAATGAGCATGAATTCATACCAAAAGAGTGCAAGATTACAACTTGATTACACAGGTAAAAGAGAATGAATATCCAGTTTGTTGAGTCAGTCCCTTGAGTCGGAATTCTCACTCCCATGAGTGAGGTTTCATTTGTCTTTGTTTGTTTTCAGTTCTGCAGAGTCACTTGTGTGAGTGACTTTACCACTCGTGCAAGTG